GTGGACAAGACAAAGACATGCACCTGATAGCATATGGAAAAGAAGTGCATTCAGCCAAAAGTGTGGAGCACAGCACTACCAACATCCCAAAAATAATTTCTGGCTCCCTGCAGAGCCCAAGGTAGTTAAAAGATTCATCTTTTTCAAACTTCAAAATAAATAGTTGTGCAAAGTTTCTCTTCCCTCAGTACTTTTTTTTTCTTCAATAAAATACTAAAAAAAAAATGTTTGAAGAAGAAGCATAAACGTCTCAGCCTTGAAGTCTTTTGGTGTAGTATTTATCCATTTGCCAAAGGACTTTTCCCTCAAAGGAAGATAATGGGGATTTTATCAATTCCCTTGTACATTGGCAGATTTTTTTTTTAATTTTCATTTTTTTTCCGAACATATGTACCAATTTCATTTTCATTACAAAACATTCACATTACCATATTGATTTTTCGAATCATATTTAATGGCTAACCATCAGACTCAGAGAAAGGAAAACCCTCAGAATGCTCTGTTATGAGGCTGGGTTTATTCTATAAATTCGTGTTGGGCTGTAACAGAGCATTACATCTTTGTACGACATCTGTGTAAGGTTCCCTTTCCAAGGGAGTGTTGTAGCTGTTTCCTTCCATTTGGTAATACTGCTCCCATCTCATTTGTACTAAACTTCATCCATATGTTGTCAGAGAGATGCAGGATGACTGCTCTACTCCACTGTATATAACACTAACAGGACGAGAGCATTGAAGGTGGCGTCATTACCATGTGGATATATTACCTGTGGTTTGTTTCCTCAGGAAGGGAAGAACAGTATCAATACAGGGACTGAAATCTATTTACAGATTCCACAGTCAATTTAATCTGGTATAAATTAGCTCTGCTACAGAATGTGGGCTGCTTGTCACACAGCCATGGCTGCTTATCCCTGCCTTCTGTTTCTGCCAGCCCTAGTGCTCGTGAGGCAAACCACATCAGGGAACTAATTCAGCTGAAAACTAATTTTTTCTTTTTTTTTCCAAGCCGAGTTTTCATTCAGATAAACTCCCTGCTCCAGCTCATTCATGGCTGCACAAGCAGTAATGTCAGTGTGAGGGAGACAACACAAACAGATAACCCATGGTGTAAGACAGCCTGGGACTCACCCTTTCAGCAGCAGCAGCCATTTATCCTGCTTAAGCTGATCATGGAGCTGTGGCATTAGTTAAAATGGTGGCAGTCACTATCTGGATTCTCTCATTTTCCTGTATATCACTTATCCTGTATATCTTATTTTCCTGTATATCACTTCCTCAAGTCAGTTTGAGTCAGCATACTCCGAGAGGTCCCACTCTAGATTGCCTGGGCTCAGCCCTTTCCTCAGAAAACTCCAGGTCACCCTGACTGAGAGGATTTTTTTCATAGAATTCTTTATTTCCAATATTTCAATAAAGTTCATTGTTTTTCATGGTTTTCCATAATGTTCTGCACAACTGATTTAACACTGCCTCGGTATGGTTAGAGAGCTGGTCCTAACCCTAAGGTGGAATTTTGGAACCCAAGGCTTTCTAGTCAGCAGATTTTTCAGCTGCACTGACCTCAGAGGAGCTAACCCTGAAGAGGCTTTCAGAGCAGTTCCCAGAAAGCTAAAGACGTTCACATTTTCTTCATCCTTGCTTCTGATTTTTCCAATGCTACCTCCAGTCCTTAGGCCTCTGTTGATCCTCACTTCATCTCTTGAGTGCAGTGGTTCACTCGGATGTTGGCAGAGCTGCCACAGACCTGCAGTCCCCTGGGTGAGCATAAGAGGAATTATGAGAAGTCATAAAACAGCACCACATTTTCCTACCACACTTACCCACGCAGGCTGCTTGATCTGCTGTCAGAACTCACAGCACTGAAGACCCCTAATTAATGGTTAGCCATCCCCTGTGTACACAGGGCTTGATTGAAATGCTCAGGACCAGCACTTTTGTTGGCTCCACTCTTATCTTACCCCAGGCTGATAAAAGGGAGTGCTTCTATCCTTACTGCAGCTCCTCACAGATCCCTGGGCAGAAGCAATCGCTTTCTGGCAGATTCTGTCAACAACAAACAACAGCACTTTTCCGCAGTGTCACACCAATCTCACCTCTATAGCGCAGCCAGGCATCAGCAGCATCTGAGCAATTTACTCTGCTCCCATTCCCATGCGTGCCTTGATGCTGAGGCTACAGGGAGAAGGAAGAAACAAGGTATAAAAAGCGAGAAATGTTTACCAACTGCTTTACGGTTCCCCAGGTTGTTAGGTCTTGCAGTTACAGGATGGCTTCTGATCTTAAACAAATGGCACAGGGTGTGAAAATTGATCAGTATTTCTTTGCCAGTATCCCCGTTTTGAAAATTACCTCCAGTACAGGGCTGGGAATTTGATACCCCGGAGAAGATCTCCAGGAGAACAACAGTCACACTGCATTTAGTAAAAAAAAAAAAAGCCAACATTAAGTGTGATGTTCCTGTGTTTACTTATCTCTGTTTAATTTCTTTCTACCTTTGATTTATGGAAAGGGGAAAAACAACATGCTAAATACTAAATGACAGCATTTCAGCATTTGAATATTGTAACTTAAAGTGATACTACCAGTTAGACCAGACTAAAAATTAATATTTTGTTCCCAATATACTATCCAAAAAAAAAAAAAAATAGAACAATTGTAACTACAGCTGTTCTTTTTAAACTCCAGATACTAGCCCCATTATAGTTAGAGAACATGAATGAAAACAATGTTTATTTGGATTGCAAGCATTTTCCAGAAGTAAGCATTTTTCGTATGTTGATAACCTACACGTTTGGTCAATACATGCAAAAATGGCATTGTCTTTTATTTGTCTGAAACATTTTTCAGTCTTAATTCAGAACATCATCTGTTGTTACGGCAGTACTTTAAAAAATGTGATAGTTTTCAAGCAATGACCTAAACCCTAACACATTCAGTTTAGAAGTCCTCGTCAATCACAGCTGGTTGAGGCAGTCAGCATAATGGTGGGAGTAATCTATCTCTTCAGCATTGTTGCTATTTAAGATAGGAAAACCAAAATCCCTTCATGAACTAACATGTCATGATTTTTATGACAACAACTTGTCTATTAAATATCTCAGCCACAAGTGTTAGCTTGAAAGTTCTCCTAGTGCTGATTTAGCTGAACTGCACACGAATTTGCATCACAGACACTCAGTCCTAAAACACATGGTATGAGTCTGGGACAAGAATGGCTTCATCTAAATGAGTTTAAATTAGAGGCAAACATGAAATACAGCAAGAAACAAGATGCCAAGAAAAAGGGCAAGCTTAGATCAGTTGGAGTCAATAGTTCTACCAGCACTGGGAATGTCTTATCCACTAATTCTGATGTACCCTGCAGAATTTGTTGAGTACCTCACCCTCCCTATATCCATGGTCAACAGTTCTCCCTTCTCATTTATCAGAGGGGGGGTACACTCTCACTGGCCTTTCATTTTTGACCTATGTACTTATAGAATACCTGTTTGTTTCTCTTCACTTTCAAAGGACTTTAGCTTTTCTGAGTCCAGCCCTACACACCCTGTACTCTCAGGTCACCTGTCCCTGCTGCTACCAGCTGTGCATTTCCTTCTCACTCCTCAGTTTCAGGAGCAAATCTTGGCTTAGCCATGCCAGTTTCCAGGCTGTCTTGCTTGATTTCCTATGCTAAGAAATGTGGCCTTAAGCAGATGCCACCTCTGGCCAGCTCCTGTGCTCCCAGTTTCCCCGGGAATCTCATCCAGTAATTCTTTCAACAGTTGGAATTCATCTTTTTAAAAGTTCAGGGTCCTGACCTAGCCCTTTGCCAGGCCCCTGTTCCTTGAGATCATGAACTCAGTCAGGGTCCAGTCACTACAGCTCAGGCTGCTCCAACCTTAACCCTCCTAATGAGCTCATCCACACTGGTGAGCACCAGATCCAGCAACACTTGTCTTCTGGATGGTTTGCCCAGTACTTGGACCAGGGAGTGGTCCCAGATGCAGTCCAGGGAGCTCCTGGATTGCCTGCTGCCTGGCTATATTGCTCTCCCAGGAGACATCCATGCCAGTCCATCAGGATGGGCCCTTGCAAGCACAATAATCCTGGAGCTGAAGCAAGAGGCCTCATCAGCAGGCTCCCCCTGCTCAGGCAGCCTGCACCAGACCACAGCCACACGGTGTGTTTTGCTGGTCCTGTCCTTGGTTTTTACACACAGGCTCTCAACCTGCTCATGGCTGTTTCTCAGAGACAGCTCTTCACAATCTGTTCCTTTACACAGAGCATGCCTCTACTCCTTCTTCCCAGCCTTTCTCTTCTGGAAACTTACAGCTCTTGATTGCAGTGCTCCAGTTGTGTGTCCCACCATGTTTCCATGATAGCAGTTAGGTCATAGGTTTCTAATTGCATGGTTTCCAGCTTCTCTTGATTGTTGCCCATGCTGCATGCAGTGGTGCAAGAGAGTATGTTCTCGAAACACCCTTCATCTGCTTCAGTGCCAGGGAGGGTTGACTTTAATTAGGACAGCTCTCTTTGTAAATTAAGCCAGCCTTTGTACCAAATTGGATGAGAAATGATCACAGTTCAGATGGGGCAAATCTGACAAATGACAGCCACAGGGAGTTACAAAACAGGAGATGATAATGTCTTTGGCCAGTGCAGCCATTTCTTCAGTGAAGGTCTGATCCATACGTCTGATGTGATCATGTATCTAGCCAAGACGTTACTTGTACCAGCTTCCTTTGCACTGGCACACTGCAAGCATCTCTCCTTCACATGCCCTTCCCCCACACACCAAAAAAAACCTAAAATAAGCTGTATTGGTGCATTTCCCAGCCACAACTTAAGTGAAGGCCATGTGCACTTCGGGGTACAGGCCATCTGAGAAAAAATGGCCCAGAGCTGCTTTTTTAGCACTGCCCAGAGGCAGGTCTTTTCGTGATGCTTCTGAGTCATAGTAAAGTCGAGTGAGTGGTCCCAGCCCATTTCAGTACGCAAGGCAAATTACATCATATACAGATGTACCTGCTGATGCTGCATGAACTCAGACTAGGAATGCTCACTCACGGGTACAATTTTACTAACAGTAAAAAAGTTTCAAAAGATGTCTCAGAAGGTTATTAACAGCTCATGTGAGACAGCAAACTTCTGTCAAGAACCTTATATTGCTTTCTGCAGTACTAGGCTCTAAGGATCTGTGCTGCAGAGTGGTACAATCTCATAAAGCAGGCCCCCGGTGGAGAACCCTGGTGAAGACAAGGCACATAGGTAGAGCTGAGGCTTTTTTAACCTTCATTATATATGCCTCCCGCAGTTTCTTATATACCTACTGCAGTTTTGCAGAACAGTGGTTTTCCTGTTTTGGTTGGGTTTTTTGGTGTTTTGTTTGTTTGTTTGTTTGGGGTTTTTTCCCCATGCAGTATGAGGTGGTTCGAAGTCCTTTATTTAAGTCCTTTAGTTAAGGAACAGGCTGGAGCTGAGTTCTTGCTGCCTTGGGCTGCTGGCTGTGTGCGCTCACGGGCCCTTCCTTGACTCTCCCCCCAGCTGGAGGTGCCCCCACTTTGCTCCACCCTCCAGGGGCTGGCCGGGATGGTCCAGGGCTCGGTGAGGGCTCAGCAGGCTGCCGGCTGTGCCTTTGGGACCCTGGTAGGAGCTGGGTAGCCAGAGAAGAGCTCCCTCCGCCCCGCTCCCCTCCTGTGGCCGGGCAGGGAGCGAGCGCTGCGCATGCAGCACCGAGGGGCTCCGGACACCTTCCCTCGGGGGTCCTCCACCTTCCCTGGAGCTCCTCACGGCCGTTCCAGGCTGCAGGAAAATGTACTGTGAAAACCACGTCAGGTAAGTTTGCCTGAGCTGCCCGGGGACCTGCTCTAGCGCAGGGATGCTTTCCCTTTAATCTTGGGGAAAGTTCAGGCACCCACCTTCCTTTTAGGGTTTGTCTTATTGGCACAAATTTATTTCTGTTCATGTGTTTTTTGTTTTTTTTGTTTTGTTTTGGTTTGGTTTTTTTTGGTTTTTTTTGTAGAATTCTTTTCACCGTGACGCTGGTCTGGCAGGCTGTTCATCTAGGAAAAGGTAAGGAAAGCTGAGTGTTTCTCGCCGCCCCGTCGTGTTTCCCTTGTACAATTAGGGTGTACATTTCTTCTTTAAAAACTACTGTTCCCTTCCATATTTGCACTTCTTGTCAAGGCCTTGGGAAAGAAGAACCTGAAGAAGATGTGAAAAGTCTCAATGCCACAACTCAAAAGCAGCAGCCCAAGAACGAAGGGACTTTTATAAATGGACTCAGTGACATGAATCAGAGTTATGAAAGCAGAAAGCAGCAGAGTTCCAGGTCTTTGGTACCTTTCACTGGAATTACAGAGAGTAGGTAACATTATTTATGTAAACAATCCGCAAAATTGCTTTCTGTAAAACTGTTGTCCTAGAAGATTCCAGCCTGTTGGTTTTCCGTGGCCACTCAGGAAATGTGATAACAATTTAAAGTAGAATTGGGGATTTCTCACTTGCAAAATGTGCTAATGAAAAGAGAGTGATACTAGGAATCAGGGAGGATTTGGTCCCTTGTATTTACAAAAGCCTCTCTGATATTTCATAACATTCTGTTCATTTTTTTTTCAAATTAACCATAATTCATGACAATAAAAAAGTTACCTTTAAAAAAAGGAAAAGATTTGAAAGCAACTTTCTGAAAGCACCGGTAACTAACAGGAAAAAAAAAATTAGTCTTTTTTCTCCCACAGATATAAAGTTTTATATTGGTGTTCAATCCCAGGAGTCTGAGGAAGGCTCAAGGGAGTATTCCCCTCTACTCTCAAAACCAAGTAACTCTTCCCAGTAACAAAATATCCTTTATTCAAAAATAAGCATCACTTTCCAGTAACTGCCTCATTTCTTAGTGTGACTGAAACCTCTGTCTGTCAAAGTGAAATATTTCACTTGAGTACCCGCTGCTGCTACAGGATTGCCAGGCGTTGCTTCTTCACCGTCCTGTAATCCCTAGTAGTTTGTTTCTAATCCTTAACTAAACAAAGTGGGTTTAGCTGAACAAACACTCCTAACAGGCATATAATTTTATTGTCTCTGAAAACAATAAAACTAGATATCCTTAAGATACTTTGGCAACTGCAAGAGGCCCGAGGGGAGAAGTGAGGAAAAGGTGAGGTCCGGAACTCCCCGAGATGCTTGTTAACATCTGTAATATTGTCTTGCAGGCAAAAAGCTGAGCAGACACTGCTGCCAGAACGGAGGGACCTGCATCTTAGGGACTTTCTGTGCCTGCCTAAAGCATTTCACTGGCAGATACTGCGAACACGATGAGCGGCAAAGGTAATAACAAGGCAGACCAAAGCCGGGGGAAAAGCGGGTGGTGCGGCCTGGATGGTTATTTTCTGAGGTGGGATCAGGGATGTACCAAATGTTGTCTCCCTTGTCGTTGACAGCAACTGCGGCAGCATCCCCCACGGCGCCTGGGTGCTGAAGGGCTGCTGGCTGTGCCGGTGCGGCTACGGCACCCTGAACTGCCTCTCTCAAATAATGCAAGATAACTGCGGTAAGAAATGGCACCAAATCAAACATGGTTTTTTTTGTCCTGTGGGTGACAGAACTGCCTTCTCCAGCGGTGGGGCACTCGGAGGATGCTGTGTGTGCCCTGTTCAGGCTTCTACAGCGGGCTGTTTTGCTTCAGAGAATGCATCAGTGAAACAGTAAATAACACTACTGTTGCCTGCACAGTGCATCCCATTAAATACTCCCACATCTTTATAATTCTGTGCAGTAGGAACCTTCCCACCGTTCTAATTGAAAATTACAGAGATTAAACATTTCTCTGCTCTGCAAAATCTGCACATCTATAACTTCTCATGTAACCAGTACAACTAAAATACATCCACGTATACAGAATATGTTTCTTAGATAAGGGGAAAAAAAAAAAAGACAGTAGGGTAAACTGGGGTGATGTAAGTAAAAACCGTATTATATTAGAGATACAAGTACTGAAAACTTTCATGTTCTCACATAAACTACTTCAAACATAGAATGATCAGTCATAACAGAAAGACACAGAACCAGTCTGAACCTTGTTTTAAGATCTGTATCTTCGTAATGTTCATATACATAGTTGTAAGACAGAGAACACATCACAGAAAAAACTTGTAGCCATGTCCTGATCAGTGTATAGTGGTGTCATCCAGTCTCCTGAAATGCACTATATTTAAGTCTAGTGTTTTTACATCAGCCTGTGAAAGTCCTTGAATGAATGGTTGAATATTTTTGAATCAGCTAGAATAAAGACCTGAAGATTTGCTTTTCAGGTATTTCGCATGGAGAACTGGCTACTTTGATCCAGACTGTTTTAAACACTCTTTAGACGACTAATAAGACTTTAATAATATTTCCTCTTCAGTGGCAAAATCATTATAAAATATTCTTGCCCTTTCCCACTTGTCTTAATGCCATCTTGTGCTTTCCTTCAGTTGTGCCGATATCACAGTAAGTTAGCAGGGTAAGAAAACAGCAGACCTAAAGAGTTTCAAGGTTCAGTTGCACCCCGATGAACTAGCAGCCTCTTGTTTCCTGACCAGATTCCTAACTGAGTAACAATGACTTGAAGCTATGACTCCTGAGCTCATATGTAAATGCAGATTGCAAAATCCCGGGTGACATTCCTATCCTTGCAACCCCAAACCAAAAAAAAAAAAAAAAATTAAAACCTACCACCAGAACCACTTTTTCGTCGGAAGATTTCTGTTCTGAGCAATTATACGAAGGATGCAGCTTGCTAATTAAACTCTTCAAAAGAGTTAAATGCTTGGTTGTTGACCTTTGAATCAGCCCTATTGTTTCCCATTACAGGAGCAAAAGACATAATGGGCCTCCCCATGCTCAGTAAAAGCAGTCTATTGCTTACTGCTCTTGAACTCAGCTTAAAAAAGACAATAAAAGGTGTCAGTGAAGAATCCTCTGAGCAGCAGCTCAGTGGCTTCCACGTAAATGAGGGTCTGGCTTTCCGCTTGTGCCGCAAGTGAAGTCACCTCCTGTTAAGGGAAGGGTTAAAATTCGACATTCAGGCTCGAGTGCATACCCCTTGTGAAGTTCTTCCTCTTGCTTTTGCTCGGTATTTACTTTTGATTATTCTGAGATTAATGCCTGCAAGAGCTGATAAGTGCTATCAGTTGCTCCTCAAACGATCATTGATGGGACATCTATTTACATCTCTCCCCTGAGAATAGTCCCTTTGATTGGCTTTAACAGCTGATACCTTTAACTTAAGTACCTGTGAGATGTCAGAGGACTTCTCAAGAATGTTGAAAGTCTTTGTTTTTAAATTTACATACTTATTTATTAACCATCTTATGTTCTCGATTTTTTTTTTTTTTCAGAACTGAAATCAGAAAAGGAGGAAATTACCAGACTATATTCTAATGGGTTAAGATTACAGCAAACAGTGTTTGCAGTCGCTTGCCTGCTCACCATGCTTCTGGAGTTCTGCTGCTGGCAGTTGTGAAACTGGACAAGGGGAAATATATTAGGGTTGATATAACCCTCACCACGGGTCATGCATTTTTCTTTTTCTATGAGCTAAAGAGGACTCTTCTACCTACAAGTTGGAGACATATTAAGATGTATTAGTTAATGATGGAATGCTCGGATATTATAAATTCAGATTATATAAATGTGAAGTATTTATTATTATATTATTATATTATTACTGCTGTCAGTGTCTGATTCTAACAATTCTCTATTTCTAAAATACTGTTCTTCCAGTGGAAGCAAACACCACCACCCCCTCAACGTATTGTAACTTATAGTAATTTCTTTTGTACACAGTACAAGTATTTTAACAAATAAAGCTAATTTCATCCCTGATAAGCCATATGTTTAATTTTATTTAAACTTGGAAAGTCTTACCTACCATTTGTCATTATATCCTGTAAGAAAATGCCAGGGTAGAATGAACAATCAAAAATTTGAAGAGATAAGGAGGGTTTTAAGAAAAGATATCTATAAAACCTTAATATAGAGAAGAACTGTAAAGGTTACATAGTCTTTCAGGTTTTATTATTATTTATTATAACTAAATTGTACATATGCACAACCTTAGGAAGGAATCATGTATCTTAAGAATACATAGCTGATGGTTATTTGTTTTTTGGGGATTTATTTTATGTCACATGCTAGAAATATGACCTCTTTTATTTTTTAAAAGGACAGCAAAAAGCAACATCATTTAACTTTTTCTGTAGCAAAGCTGTTTCGATTTATGAATCATTTAAATATGGCTGTAAAATACAAAATGCATGTAAATGCATCTTCATACAAGTTTATAAAACACCAGAAATGGGTTTATTTTGAAAGAATTGGAAAGAGAAGCCTGAAACGTACCTTTATGCTTTGAAAGTGGACCTACCACATAGAAACAATCAAATTCATAATTTTGTTGACTAAGAAGACATTTTTGACGAAGAAAATCTTCAATGTCTTTTAAAAGTTCAATATATTTAATTCTTAAAATTTTTAATTTATTTATTGGGTGCCAAAAATCAAGACATTCCAGTTATTAAGCAAAGAACAACATCATCACCAACAAATGACATAACATTCTGGCTGCCTTTAAATCTGTGACTACTCAGAAACAGACTTTTACAGGGAGTCAGTGTGTAAAAACATAATGAAGAGTGGAAAGGATTCAGACTGCACCTTTCCACATTAGATTTGAGTTGAAAGAGAAGGCTTCTGACTCTTCACATAGGGTACACTGCAATAGAAATTCTCATTTCCCTTCAGCTGGTGTGTACCTGTATGCCTGTGTTTCCACGGACCAGCTTAGGATAATTAAATATCAAAGAGAACAGCTGGAGGAAAATAGTCATGCCTTTATTTATCAGATGTTGAAATTTCAGGAATGCCATTGTGAAAACGTCTTGGCTTGCCACCAAGGGTACCTGAGAAGCTGTAGGCAATGCAGCTTGTAATGTGCTTCAAATTGTCTTTACTTTTTCAGGGAAAGCAGCAAGATATGTGGAAATACATACTGCAGGGAAAATAAATCTGAAGTAATACTTAAATTTTTATCCCTATGTGATAAATGTACAAAGCCACTAAAGACTGCAATTAGCAAAAGGAAATGCAGATTTTACAACAGAACAGCTATTTCTGTTGCATTGAACACCTACAGAAGATTTAATCTGGAAAAGCTGGTCTGGAAAAACTCCTTATGTACATGAGCCTATGTGCCTGCAAACAGTCACTCTGATGGAGCTAATTTATTATTGGGTCAGTCTTTCTGGCAGAATTGGAGCAATCGAAAAGCCTAGCAAAGAAACATTCTCCTGCTGCACCAAAACACCCGTCTAGGGCATCAAACTGGATGCAGGGTGGTTCAGTTCTTACAGCAAAACGCTGTGTGGGGAACTTAGATGGGTAAGTAATTCTAATTACACTGGTGCAAATTACTACTAACTGCATCCTACATTTTGAAAATGTTCTCCAGAAGTAGTGACAGAAGGTTTTTCCTTGCTTGTTCTTAAGATAACATCTCCTTTTTTTCCTATCCTATGCCATTGCACTGGAAAAATCTGAAAATTACTGCTTCAGGAAGGTTTTGTATCAACCACACTGTGGCAAAACAATCCCCCAGTGATGGTTAGTTGTGGCAGAGACTCATCTTCGTGTCAGAGCTCTGGAAGTTGTGAGAAGTAGGCATTTTGAAGCACAGAGTCTGTTGTCCTCTGAAGCAGAGGCAGCCACAGGAGTTGAGTTTGAGGAGAAACAGCTATCGCCTTAAGTTAAAGAAAAACAAGAAGGGAGGGGGGAAAGAAAAAGCATTCAGAAGCAGTCCCATGCATAGTGTTGTTTGCAAATAAAAACGTAACTAAGAAGGACGAAAACAGAAAGAACTGAGAACAAAGGAAAGCACACAGTCACAATCTTTGCTTAGGTTAAAACTGTCTCCGCTTTTATCTGTCTCCAGCTGTTTGCAAGAACAGATAAAAGAAAGCATTATTTTCCTCCCCAGCTACCATCTAGGCCTGGCCAGCCTTCTAACACTGCAATTACAGGCACTTTGCTGAGGTTTGTTTATAGCAAACAGCAATGCTTGCTCTCCAGCCCCGCGCTAACTCACAGGCCACTCTGTCAAACACGGCACGTCCCAGCAAAGTAGGCATCTGTTGCTACAGGTTCATGCATATTGCCCTCTCCACATGCAGTCACGTTTGGGCAGGGGGAAGACCCTCAAGGAGAAAATATTTATCAGATGATGCACAGGCCCCAGAGCCCTAGACCTGTAGGGTCTGTAACAAATGGTGCAGCCTGAGGCTGTGCCCCCTGCAAGTGCTGCGGGCTCCACCACCCCGGGGCATCCCACAGCTGATAAGGACCCACACCTGGGAGCAGTGTGAGGGCTCCCCTATGGCCGAGAGCCCCTAGAGCTGGAGCTCTGGTGCCAGGCACATGTCCCCAGGAGCACTCTGCCATCTGCCCTTAAGGAGCTGCCCACTTAAAGGAAGTGATTTGTTTTGCATAAATGCCGAGCATCGCACCGAGGTTTCCTCCTACAAACCTGGAAAGCTAACTAGCAGGTACCAGACGCTGAGAAAGTGTCACTCATCTGCCTCTTTGAGCTTATCTCCCAAGGTGACTTCACTCCTAGCAAGAAGGCATGGATTTCTCTTGCCCCTGCGAAGTGTTAATGGTACCAGTAGCTGCCAAAGGTGCCAGCAACCTTCCCTAGTCTAGTGGAAAAGGCCTATTTTTCCCAGCCAGCCAAAAGAGAATTAGAAGTAATTCCCAGAATGGTTTATCCAGAGTTGTTTTGTGGTTTTTTTGTTTTGTTTTGTTTTTTAACTGGTATATGTGTGATGGCTGTTTACCCCTACATATTTCACTACTAATCTTTCATTGACTCTAACAGTGTGTCAGCAGGCTATATGTCCAGACCATCACACCCACCAGTTTCATATATACAAATATATATATATATGTATGAGAACATACTCAACACCTTTATATTTTGTCTTCCATCCATTGGAAGGGTGATATATTACAGCAAGCTGGCTCATGCACTGAGTAGCCCTGTGAGTCACAGAATCATCATAGAATATCCTGAGCTGGAAGGTGCCCATGAGGATCACCAAGACTGACTCCTGTACCCACACAGGGGAACCTAAAATTTAAATCCAATATTTAAGAGCGTTATCCAAAACTACCCAAGCATTGTGGCTTATCCTTGTGACTGCAAAGCACATTCTTGGCCAGAGAAGATATTAAAACATGTAATTCCCTCCATATTTGGCTGATTGGCCTTGCCCTTGGCTGATGCTGCTGTCAGGGTGTCTTCTTGATAAGGGTGTGAAGCCATACGCCACTGGAATAAAACCAGATGCCTAATGCATGCTGGGCCCAGCATTTGTCTTCAGGTACATGCTGGCACAGCAATAGCCTTCCTTAGCAGCTGTCTTCCTCTTCAGCAGCCCAACCACATCCTTACAAAACCACGATTCATAATCCAGCCTGCAAGGCTTCAGTTCAGGTGTTATTTGCTTGACAACGTTGGGATGAAGTGCTGGGGATGTACTGCCTGGGCAGAAGCACTGGTAAAGAAAGGCTCAAAACCAAACAGTCAGGAGGGCATTGGCATTACAGCTGCAGGTAGAGGAAGCACATTTTCCAGCTGAGCCTCCAGCAGCTGGTCCTGTGGACTCAGGTTTCTTTCTCTGCCAGCTGAGATAATTCTCTGAGCTTCGCATGTTGTCTGGGGCACAGCTGGTCACCTTTCACTGGGCACAGAGGTTTGGGAGCAGAAATAGACACACAACCTGCGATGCTTCAAATCACAAGACCGGGTTTGGTAGGACTATGAGAGGCATTTTCAGCCCATCCATAAAGAGTTTTCTGGACAGCATAACAGTGCTGAACATTGACTTCCCTTGTAGGAATGGTACATAACATCCTGCATCTCTTACCAGCAATGCATTCTTTTGCCTCTTGTCTACAATATGATGTCTGCCCAACTAAACAGAAAGCTTCATATGACTCATACAACTTATAAATCATTACAAAATTTCTAAGTAAGAAAAAAGTCACTTACTTATATAGGCCAGAGAAACAGACAGTTCTGTCTCCTGTACTGTTGTAAAATCTCTAGTCCAAGCCTAGAAAGTTCTGTGGGGAAAGTTGTGTCTCTGGTTTTCACATAGACAAGATTATACAAAAAGTATAGAAAGCAGTTCCATGAAAAATTTAATTAAAGATGAAGAAGTGGTACCATGTTGGAAAGACAATCTTTGCAAGAGCACTTTAAAGCAGAACAAGGAGAGAGCCAGGAACAAAAAGAAGAACAGGTGTCAAATGTCCTTCCCACCTGACTTTGTACATGAACTCTTCTAAGGACTTTTGGACCAAAAGCTTTAAAAAAAGAAGGAAGATTAACAGACCTGGCAATCCCATGCTTACATGTTAGCCTTGTTCTTTCAGTCTCTACATTATGCTCCCTCCCCTCAAGCCTGTATTATACAGCACCAGTACCAAAGCTGCTTCTTGTACAGGGAGGAAATCCCTGCTGGAAAGCAAAGTGCCAGTATACACCTTAATTAGCTCTGAAGGTACATGGACACTATGTGATGTTAAACTGAATTGAGCTCTGTTTTCCTAGGCTGGTGTTGGTTTGTCAGACTAAGTCAGTAGCATTTCTGATGTGTTTTGGTAACACAGCTGGGAATTTCCTATTGCCTTCAAACATTGTTCTTTAGGGGAAAAAAGAAATATAGAACCACGGCTTCCTGCTCT